TGCTGAATCGGTATCTGACTTACTATATTAAAATGGGTTTATTCAGTGGGTCAGTAAACAGGCAGCTTCCTTCATCTCTGGGTGATTAAAAAAAAAGCCCAACAACCCATTTTCATCACCGCCGGGCATCGCCCGTACCCTCCGCCGGCGCCCTCCCGAGGTTTGCGGGTGGGGGTGCGCTCGGCTGCCCTACAGGGCCCGCTCCGGCGCGCGCCTGTGAAAAGCAGCCGCCTGCCCATGCGGGTACGGCTGCTTCCGCCGCCTGCGCCGGCCGCACCGGCAGAGCAGCAGCGTCTTGAAAGTGGTTCTGAACGTTTTGTTACACAGCGCGTAGCACACGGGGTTCACGGTGCTGTTGATGTAGCACAGCCAGTAGCCCAGATTCCAATAGGTTTTGGGTATGCAGCTGTCGCAGAAGGTGTTCACCAGAACCATGATATTGTACGGGGTCCAGGTGATGATGAAGGCCAGCAAGATGGCGCTGAGCGTCTGGGCCGCCTTCTTCTCCTTGATGAGCGACATCCGTTTCCGCTTGGTGATCTGGCTTCGGGTCTTCAGAGCGAACCTCTTGGCCAGAGTGGCTTCCTTGAAGGACAGAGGTAGAGTGGCCGTGGTCTTGCCCGCCGAGGAGTCGGCCTCGGACGCCTTGGCCGTGTCCGCGGCTGACTCTAGCTGGATGGGAAGCTTGGAGAAGCTTTTCGGAAAGCCGGCCCCGTCGTCCATGCTCTTCTGGGCCTGCAGCTTGCTGGCTCTCCTCTGCAGGTCGGCCGCCCCCAGCGCCTCGTCGGGCACCTGCAGGTTGTCCGAGGAGGGCAGTTTGGTGGAGTTGAGGATGGTGCTGTGGCCAGGCAGCTTGAGCACGATGGAGTAGATGGCTCTGGTCTCGGAGCCGATGTCCTCCTCGTCGGAAGAGGCGGAGTTCTCCAGGGAGGCGGCAGCGTCGTTGTTATTCCAGCTGTCGCTGCTGCTCTGGTCGGGGTCCATCTGCTCGGCGCTGGCCTTCAAGCTCTTGGTGGCGAACCAGAAGTGGCAGCGACCGTACTTCCTCCGGGCCGAGCGTTTCAGGCTCTGCTGTTGCAGCTCGTAGCTGCTGCAGCTCCGAGAGCTGCCTGTGGGGTGGACAAAGTTCTCGGCCTCCGCGTCCGTCCCCGAGGCCTGCAGCCCGGCGAGCTCTTTGGTACGTTTTTCCGTTTCCTTATAGATCCTCCAGTATAAAATAGTCATGATGGTGACAGGCATGTAGAAGGCAGCGATGGCCGTGCCGAACGTAATGGTGGGCTCGCTGAGGAACTGGATGAAACACTCGCCGGGTGGCACAGTCCTCTTCCCGACAAAGTACTGCCAGAAGAGGATGGCGGGGGCCCACAGGACGAAGGAGATGACCCACGCCAGGCCTATCATCACGCCAGCTCGTTTGGTTGTTCGTTTGGCTCGGTACGTGAGCGGCCGCGTGATGGAGAAGTACCTGTCGAAGCTGATGACCAGAAGGTTCATGACGGAGGCATTGCTGGCCACGTAGTCAATGGACAGCCAGAGGTCACAGGCCAGGTTTCCTAGAGCCCACCGATTCATGATGATGTAGGTGGTAAACAGATTCATGGAAATGACCCCGATAATCAGGTCGGCACAGGCCAGGCTTAAGAGGAAGTAGTTGTTGACCGTCTTCAGCTGCTTGTTGACCTTGAAGGCCACGATCACCAGGATGTTGCCGATGATGGTCACCAAGGCCAGGACACCCGTTAGGAAGGCGATGAAGACCACCTGCCAGATGGTGTGGCCTCCCAGCGGGTCGCTGGTGGTGCCATCGGCAGAGGAGAAATTCCCAGCTGCCCGAGAGACGTTGTAGCTGCCGAAGTGAGGGGCCGTGCCCGGGGGCAGCCCAGCATCCGAGGGGCCGCGCACCCAGGACGAGCTGATATTCGGAAACAAAGGCGAGGTTGTATGGTTAGCGTGCCAGCTCATTGTGATTCTCGGACATAGTCTGGGGAGAGAAGAGAGAGAAGACGCCGTTAGGAGCACAGTCTGCCCTCCTTGGGTTGCTTCTTCGCATTGCACAGCTTTTAAAATACGTGGAAGACCGGGCGCCTGGGTGGCTCAGTCGGTTGGGCGTCTGCCTTCGGCTCGGGTCATGATCTCAGGGTCCTGGGATCGAGCCCCGCATCAGGCTCCCTGCTCGGC